GCACCAAGTCGGGCACCCGGTTAAGGCCCTCGTAACGAAATCGTGGGACGGACAAGAATGTATTCACGTGTCGAAGGTCCAATATGAGCCTCTTTTTTGAAGGTTGGACGACTACATTTAAAGGGCTGACGCATGTGAGGGGTTCCGACGGGGGCACCATTCGGGCCGCTCCTGTCGCTAGTAGCTCGGTGACTGCCTCAACCGCAAATGCGGTAAATTGAATGGCACCCGAGTGGTTTGCCGCGTGGTGGGGAGTGGGCTCCGAGGATGCCCACGGAAGACGGTAGCCGGATGTGATTACTGACATGATGAAGCGGCTATCACACCAGGCGGCCCACCAGCTGGCGCACGCACCAAGGCGACCACGCATGAAAGGTGTGCCGGTGGGTGAAGTGTCGAGAGCGGCGAGGACGTCCAGCTCTAGTAAGGGGTGCAGGGAGGAGCGTACGAAGAAGGGTGAGTGTTGAGGCCACGTAATCGTATCTTATCATCATCTTTTTTTTTTTTTTTTTTTTTACTCCTCTCTTTTGCATTACCTCCTGCCTTCCTTTCTTCTCTCTCTCTCTTGAACCCCTTCTCCTCCTCCCTCTTTCTTCATCTTCTTTCTGTCTCTCTCTCTCTCTCTCTTTTTTTTTTTTTTTTTTAGTAGAATCGCATCGGTAAAGTAAAAAGGGCAATCATTTTTAAATAAGAGAGTTGCTCGTAGATCTGAAAATTTATAACGGCATAATCATACATAGATCTTCACACAATCTTAGTGGGCCTATTGGCGCCCTGGCCACGCTGGGGGCAATCCGCGATCCCATGTCCCGGTTCGCGACAGTAGAAACAACGCCCGTCCCCGTCACGGCGCCACGTGTTCCAATTACGCTCTCCTTGGCCTCGACCACGAGGGGGAGGGTCGCTACGGGAGCTCGCATGGGTGGGGCGATTAGGTCTCTTTTTGTTAGCCGCCACGATTTGAGTGGCAGCCTTTACATTCTTATCTTCCACCACTTCGCCATATTTAATCTTTAAGGCCATATTGGCCACCTCAAAACCACGTTGGTCGGCGGTAAAGAGAAAATGAATCTTTTCCTCCGCTTCGTCAACTATTTGCTGGAGGTAGTCGGCGGCTTGCTCGCCGCCGCTAGAAGGCAAAACAGAAATGGCGTGACGTGCAATAGCTTGAATACGCTCGAAACTAAAAAGTTGCGTGCGGATACCATCACTTTTCACTAAGGAGGAACGCAGCTGGGGGCGAGCAGGGGGGATGGGAGCAAGGCTGAAGGTGGCAGAGCTGGGTTTGGGACGGGCTGCATTACCTTCATCCGAATTCTCGATGGGTGCGTTGTCGCCCGCGTCGTCGCCATCGGGTTCGTTGGCCGGAGGGGGGAGGCGAGAGCGTGGTGCTGCCGCTGCTGCTGCGGGACGATCAGGTCCTGAAGGCGGTGCGGGATCGCCGTTATTTCCGCGCTGGAGAGCAGCGAGGAGGCCGATGACGCGATGTATGGCTTCGTTGTTGGCGGCGGCAGGAATTTCATTGTTGGTATAACGAGCGGAATAATTTTCTGCTGCGCGGGGCGCTGTAGATGCAGTGGAGCGCGCTGAAACACGTTCGCCAGCAGCTCCCGTGAAGATTCGCTGAAGGTTTCGCTGGGCTGCCGGGTCAAGACGCGCGAGAATCTCGGCAAAATCCGCTGCTGCAGAAGGCGAGATTCGACAATCCTGAGAAGCGCGCGGATTCGCCGGGCGAGGTGCAGGATCTGGGCGTCGAGATTCTCGCCCTTGGTCCTGATCCTGGCGATCCGCGCGGCGGTCAAGATTGCGATCTTGACCGAGATCGCGATCGCCGGCCCCACGCGCAGGACCCTCATGATTACGGTCCACACGCGCAGGGTCGCGATCATTACGATCGCCACGCGCAGGACCAGAGGGTGTCGCGCGTGTGGCGTTTTCGGCCGTTGCTGGGGCTTCCTCGGGAATGGGCGCGACATTTCCGTCAGGTGCGTTCGTTTCGCCTCCACGTAACCCGTCCGCACGTCGTTCGCCGTGAAATCCGGGAGGAAAATCCCGACGGGAAGATCCGTCACGATCGCCTCCTGCAGCTCTCGGGATTCGAGGAGGAGCTTGTCGCGCACGATTCAATAAATCCAGAGCAGTAACAGCAGCAGAATTTCCGCCACGGGGAGAGCGAGAACGCTCACGACGTGAAGAGGAGTCCCGATCCCCATCACGTTGCGGAGAACCACCACGACCACTGCTCCGTAAATTCATTCGAGAAGCGGGAGGCCTTCCGCCAACAGCGGAGACAAGTCCGCCAGTCATGCTATTAAAACGGACAGCAATAACGTCTGCTAACAAGGTGCTCCTATGCCCAGATCTGGGCATAGGAAGGGTTTAGTGTGTGCTGGTGGAAACTAGAGAAGTGAAAACTGCAAATGAGACTAGGTGGTAGGTCCCGAGGACCTGCCGAAAGGTAAAGGAGAATGTCTCCTTTACAGCAAACCCCTCTTCAAGTCGAACCACAATCTGTAAATTTTTTTGTTACAAAAAAATTCTCATGTCTTGAAGGTGCGGTCCCACTCCTCAGGGGAGATCTCCTCGAGGGTCTTGTGGGTGTGCTGCTCCGCTGCGTTGTTCACCAGCACGTCTATGTTCCCCCCAAAGTGCTCCACCACCTTCCGCACCACCTGCTCCCATGGAGGGAATCAGAAGCGGAGAAAAATAAGACAGCATCAGGAGTATTGCATGGCCAGTGTACCCATGTGAAGAATTGAATGTCCAATAGCATTCAGAAGCATCATGAAGCACAACTTTCGTTTTGGCAAGATTGAACGATTGAGAAACTGTGACAATCAAAACCAGATTCCATCGTAGATGAACACTTTCAACAAGAAACGAAACTCCGCCACGAGCTGACCTCCTTGCAGTTGTCGTGGTGCCCGAGGTCCACGGGGATGGCGAGCGGCTGCTTGTGCTCGGGGCGTTGGGCGTCGCGCAGCAAGCGGAGGGTCTCCAGTGCAAAGTGGTGTGCAACGCTCCGCCCAATGCCTGAATCGCCTCCCGTGATCAGTGCGATCTTACCCTGTATAAGACGAAAATGGAAGAGAGCAAGCAGAGGAAATAGGCAAGTGAAGTGAGCCTTTAGTCCAATGCGAAATGGTGAGCCCCGCCCCGCCCAATGCCTGAATCGCCTCCCGTGATCAGCGCGATCTTACCCTGCAAAGAGACGAGAAGTGAAGAGAGCAGCAGAGGAACTAAGTAGTTTACTCTAGAAGTTCTGAGACAATCATGGGCATCTTATCCTAGCTGTTAGAAGGGCTGACAAGCCCTTACGCTACAAAATGATTTCGTACCTTAGAAACAACTTCAATTCAATATTCACCTCAATTCATGCACCCAGAAACGCACCTTGAGCTTGTCGGCCGGTTTGTATGCCTCGCGAGTGACGGACGGCCGCGGCTCCATCTCGTGTTCCACGACGGGCTGCTGCGCCTGGCGCTGCGCGGGAATAGTCGTCGCCATGGCGTGAAGGTGCGAGACCGAGTGCTGCGAGACCGGGTGCTTCGAGACCGAGTGCTTCGAGACCGAGTGCTTCGAGACTGAGTGCTTCGAGACCGGGTGCTTCGAGACCGAGTGCTTTGAGACCGAGTGCTTCGAGACTGAGTGCTTCGAGACCGGGTGCTTCGAGACCGAGTGCTTTGAGACCGAGTGCTTCGCTGCTGCTGATGAGGTGTAACGCAAGGTGGGATACAAGTGCGAATTGAAAGCAGCTGGAAGCGAAGGCTGGAAGAGAGGTCAGAAGAAGAGGAATTTGGAGATTGGTTCTTATGGAGCGAGTTATGTAAGGGAAAGGTTGGAACGCTGCGCACGCGACGCCGTGAGAAGACCACCATGGAGATCGCCATTCTCGATTATCAATCCACGCATGCCGATTTCCCGCCTGCCGATCTCAGGGATGGTTGCAGCTAGCTTCAGGCATGCTAGCTTCAGGCATGCAAGGTTCAGGCATGCAAGCTTCAGGCATGCAAGCTTCAGGCATGGTGAATCTGAGAGGTGCTTATGAAAGAGCTGCGACGCTCGGACTCGCACGCTCCCCACAGTCTGTGAGCGACACGAGGGCGAGAGATGGCATAGGTCGCCGTGAAAGGCGCTGATGACCGCCATGCATGCTGCCACCTCTTCATCGTGCCTGCTGGGAAGCATTAAGAAGAATGAGAGGGAAGAAAAGGACATGAGCATCCAGACTGGGTATGAGCATACGCACGCATTTACTTTTTTGGTGAGACGGAACGCCCTCTCAACCGAAAGCAAACAAACCAAACCGCACGGAGAAGCTTCGGTTTTTAACAGTTAGGGTTTTTAATACAGGAAGCAAATCGTCGGCCCATTAGCTCAGTTGGTTAGAGCGTCGTGCTAATAACGCGAAGGTCACAGGTTCGAAACCTGTATGGGCCACATTTTGCGGCAGTCTCGGGCTACATATATGGTGTGGATCAGGTGTGCTCCTGCCCTCTGTGCCATGGATTCTCCTCCGCTCCCATTATGGCTTCTGCTTTCTTGCTTTCTTTCTTCCCATTTTGGCTTCTGCTTTCTTGCTTTCTTTCTTCCCATTTTCTCCTCTTGGCTTTAACACCATTTGCTACTACCTTGTATGTAACGTGATACGTGTTTGCAATGTAGACAGGCTCTGTCCTCTAAGACCTTAAACTCGTTTGTGGTCGTACTTGAGAACGCGAAGCTTTGCAATCTCTCTTTCCACGCTGCTGAATGAATGGTGGATGTACACTGCAAGCAGTACAAACCTGCGCAGGGAGAAAAAAAAGTACCACAGCTGAGTATCAATTGAACACTATGACGCTTATCAATAATAGCTCAGCAAGAACAAAGATGTAACACAGAAGTGGCGAAGAAGCTGCGTAACGTGCATTGGTGGGATGGTAACAGGCCAACAAACAACTGGAGATGCAGGTGGGTTGAACAGACATGAGAGAAGCAGGGGTGACAAGCACTCTTACACTGGATTTGTGAGGGGTAACCAGAAGAGCCGCCACCGGAACGGTGTTGCCAGCCTGGCAGTTTGATTGTGGCACACGAGAGTGAATCAAGGGAAGAGAGCAAGGGGAATAAATGATGCCACATGGACTGCCCACAGAATTGCCGCCACATATTTGCAACACGGTCATGGGTTGTGCAAGTGCTGTGGGGGAAACCACTTTTTGAGTCGCCTCAAAAGTGAATCAATACTACAATTGGGCAGGGTTAGGCAGCAATACGTACTGTGGCAGGGTGTAGCACCAGATGAAACACTAGGGTGATGCAAAAGTAGATACGTACTGTAGAAGGATGTAGCACTAGAAGAACTGCTACGTTGCAACCGTTGATACTTACTGTAGCAGGGTGTAGCTCCATTGGTGTGCGGGTGCAGTGGAGAGAACAACCTTTCGAGTCACCTGTAACCGGAAATTTATGCAGTGATACTTACTGTAGCAGGGTGTAGCACCAGAAGAGAGCAAGCGCAGTGGAGAGAGCAGCAGAAGAGGTGAAGAGAAGGTGACGAGTTGATCCGTGCAGCCAGAGGGAAGCGAGGAGAAGGGCGGAGGCTGCTACTGATGCCACGTCTGAGGGAGAGGAGGGACGGAAAGGGAGGGAGAAAAGAGGAGGCGGAATGAGAGGACGGATGAAGAGAAGGTGGTGTGTGGTGCCATGCAGCCAGAGGGAGGCAAGGAGAAAGACGGAGGCTGCTACTGATGCCCTAAAGGAGAGAAGGGAAGGGAAGGAAGGGAGGGGAGAGGGAATGAAGGGGAGTAATAGGGAGGGTGAAGAGCAGGGGGTGCGTGGAGCCGCGCAGGCAGAGAGAGTGAAGGCAAAGGGCAGAGGTTGTTACAGATGCCACATTCGAGAGAGAGGAAAGACGGAGTGGAAGGGAGAAAAGTTGGAAGGTGTGGGTGAGACCTGCCTTCCCTGTTTTTTATGACAATAAAACAGGAGTATCAAAGAGGGCGCTATAGGGATGTGACGAGTGGGAAGCAGGTGAGAGAAGGAGCAGGAGGGAGAGGTGGCATACCAGCAGCAGCAAGGGTATTGAAGTCGAGAATTTGCCGCAGCTCTGCATTCCTCCTCTGATTGATATAGCAAAGGGAAGTGGGAAAAAAAAAAAAGAATCAATCGAATTATTAAGTCTAACTCGGGAGTGCAGACCAAAATGGGGAGCAATTCTTACGAGGAGCTTCGATGATAAGAGAGAAACAACAGCAATGTTGAAACACGAGGAGGAACACGAAGACGCACAATGATAAGGTAGGCCGAGAAAACGAAGAGAGGCAGGAGCGTGGAGAGATGAGAGGATGATGAGAGGATGATGAGAGGATGATGAGAGGATGATGAGAGGATGATGAGAGGATGATGAGAGGATGATGAGAGGATGATGAGAGGATGATGAGAGGATGATGAGAGGATGATGAGAGGATGATGAGAGGATGATGAGAGGATGATGAGAGGATGATGAGAGGATGATGAGAGGATGATGAGAGGATGATGAGAGGATGATGAGAGGATGATGAGAGGATGATGAGAGGATGATGAGAGGATGATGAGAGGATGATGAGAGGATGATGAGAGGATGATGAGAGGATGATGAGAGGATGATGAGAGGATGATGAGAGGATGATGAGAGGATGATGAGAGGATGATGAGAGGATGATGAGAGGATGATGAGAGGATGATGAGAGGATGATGAGAGGATGATGAGAGGATGATGAGAGGATGATGAGAGGATGATGAGAGGATGATGAGAGGATGATGAGAGGATGATGAGAGGATGATGAGAGGATGATGAGAGGATGATGAGAGGATGATGAGAGGATGATGAGAGGATGATGAGAGGATGATGAGAGGATGATGAGAGGATGATGAGAGGATGATGAGAGGATGATGAGAGGATGATGAGAGGATGATGAGAGGATGATGAGAGGATGATGAGAGGATGATGAGAGGATGATGAGAGGATGATGAGAGGATGATGAGAGGATGATGAGAGGATGATGAGAGGATGATGAGAGGATGATGAGAGGATGATGAGAGGATGATGAGAGGATGATGAGAGGATGATGAGAGGATGATGAGAGGATGATGAGAGGATGATGAGAGGATGATGAGAGGATGATGAGAGGATGATGAGAGGATGATGAGAGGATGATGAGAGGATGATGAGAGGATGATGAGAGGATGATGAGAGGATGATGAGAGGATGATGAGAGGATGATGAGAGGATGATGAGAGGATGATGAGAGGATGATGAGAGGATGATGAGAGGATGATGAGAGGATGATGAGAGGATGATGAGAGGATGATGAGAGGATGATGAGAGGATGATGAGAGGATAAGAGGAGGGGATGATGAGAGGATGATGAGAGGATGATGAGAGGATGATGAGAGGATGATGAGAGGATGATGAGAGGATGATGAGAGGATGATGAGAGGATGATGAGAGGATGATGAGAGGATGATGAGAGGATGATGAGAGGATGATGAGAGGATGATGAGAGGATGATGAGAGGATAAGAGGAGGGGATGATGAGAGGATGATGAGAGGATGATGAGAGGATGATGAGAGGATGATGAGAGGATGATGAGAGGATAAGAGGAGGGGATGATGAGGGGATGATGAGAGGATGATGAGAGGATGATGAGAGGATGATGAGAGGATGATGAGAGGATGATGAGAGGATGATGAGAGGATGATGAGAGGATGATGAGAGGATAAGAGGAGGGGATGATGAGGGGATGATGAGAGGATGATGAGAGGATGATGAGAGGATGATGAGAGGATGATGAGAGGATGATGAGAGGATGATGAGAGGATGATGAGAGGATGATGAGAGGATGATGAGAGGATGATGAGAGGATGATGAGAGGATGATGAGAGGATGATGAGAGGATGATGAGAGGATGATGAGAGGATGATGAGAGGATGATGAGAGGATGATGAGAGGATGATGAGAGGATGATGAGAGGATGATGAGAGGATGATGAGAGGATGATGAGAGGATGATGAGAGGATGATGAGAGGATGATGAGAGGATGATGAGAGGATGATGAGAGGATGATGAGAGGATAAGATGATGAGAGGATGATGAGAGGATGATGAGAGGATGATGAGAGGATGATGAGAGGATGATGAGAGGATGATGAGAGGATGATGAGAGGATGATGAGAGGATGATGAGAGGATGATGAGAGGATGATGAGAGGATGATGAGAGGATGATGAGAGGATGATGAGAGGATGATGAGAGGATGATGAGAGGATGATGAGAGGATGATGAGAGGATGATGAGAGGATGATGAGAGGATGATGAGAGGATAAGAGGAGGATGATGAGAGGATGATGAGAGGATGATGAGAGGATGATGAGAGGATGATGAGAGGATGATGAGAGGATAAGAGGAGGGATGATGAGAGGATGATGAGAGGATGATGAGAGGATGATGAGAGGATAAGAGGAGGGATGATGAGAGGATGATGAGAGGATGATGAGAGGATGATGAGAGGATGATGAGAGGATGATGAGAGGATGATGAGAGGATGATGAGAGGATGATGAGAGGATGATGAGAGGATGATGAGAGGATGATGAGAGGATGATGAGAGGATGATGAGAGGATGATGAGAGGATGATGAGAGGATGATGAGAGGATGATGAGAGGATGATGAGAGGATGATGAGAGGATGATGAGAGGATGATGAGAGGATGATGAGAGGATGATGAGAGGATGATGAGAGGATGATGAGAGGATAAGAGGAGGAGATGATGAGGGGATGATGAGAGGATGATGAGAGGATGATGAGAGGATGATGAGAGGATGATGAGAGGATGATGAGAGGATGATGAGAGGATGATGAGAGGATGATGAGAGGATAAGAGGAGGGATGATGAGAGGATGATGAGAGGATGATGAGAGGATGATGAGAGGATGATGAGAGGATGATGAGAGGATGATGAGAGGATGATGAGAGGATGATGAGAGGATGATGAGAGGATGATGAGAGGATGATGAGAGGATGATGAGAGGATGATGAGAGGATGATGAGAGGATGATGAGAGGATGATGAGAGGATGATGAGAGGATGATGAGAGGATGATGAGAGGATGATGAGAGGATGATGAGAGGATGATGAGAGGATGATGAGAGGATGATGAGAGGATGATGAGAGGATGATGAGAGGATGATGAGAGGATGATGAGAGGATGATGAGAGGATGATGAGAGGATGATGAGAGGATGATGAGAGGATGATGAGAGGATGATGAGAGGATGATGAGAGGATGATGAGAGGATGATGAGAGGATGATGAGAGGATGATGAGAGGATAAGAGGAGGGGATGATGAGAGGATGATGAGAGGATGATGAGAGGATGATGAGAGGATGATGAGAGGATGATGAGAGGATGATGAGAGGATGATGAGAGGATGATGAGAGGATGATGAGAGGATGATGAGAGGATGATGAGAGGATGATGAGAGGATGATGAGAGGATGATGAGAGGATGATGAGAGGATGATGAGAGGATGATGAGAGGATGATGAGAGGATGATGAGAGGATAAGAGGATGAGAGGATGATGAGAGGATGATGAGAGGATGATGAGAGGATGATGAGAGGATGATGAGAGGATGATGAGAGGATGATGAGAGGATGATGAGAGGATGATGAGAGGATGATGAGAGGATGATGAGAGGATGATGAGAGGATGATGAGAGGATAAGAGGAGGGGATGATGAGAGGATGATGAGAGGATGATGAGAGGATGATGAGAGGATGATGAGAGGATGATGAGAGGATGATGAGAGGATGATGAGAGGATGATGAGAGGATGATGAGAGGATGATGAGAGGATGATGAGAGGATGATGAGAGGATGATGAGAGGATGATGAGAGGATGATGAGAGGATGATGAGAGGATGATGAGAGGATGATGAGAGGATGATGAGAGGATGATGAGAGGATGATGAGAGGATA